AAAATAGAAGAACAAGTATACAAATCAACAAACCGAAAAAGTAGTCTAAAAACCTGAACATGCATTTCGCAGAGAAAACCTCAATGGTCAAACACATGAAATGATACGCAGTTTCATTGGTAACTAGGGCAATGCATACTAAGTCCACAATATCCAGATTGAGAGGGTTCAAGCAATTCTCTTGCTTCAGCCTCCCGAGTGGCTGGGACTATAGGAGTGCACCACTACGCCTTGGTAATTTTTATATTTTTTTGGTAGAGACGGGGTTTCAACCACATGGACCAGGCTGGTTTTGAACTCCTGACGTCAAGTAATCTGCCCATTGAGATGAGATCCCAAAATGCTGGGATTACAGGCATGAGCTACCATGCCAAGTCAGATTGATAATCTTTCAGATTTCTGATAATCTCAAATGTTATTGAGTATATGAAGCAAAGGGAATCTTTCTTTTTTTTTCTTTTTCTTTTGGGACAGAGTCTTGCTCTGTCACCCAGGCTGGAAGGGAGTGGTGCAATCTCGGCTCACTGCAACCTCTACCTCCTGGGTTCAAGCGATTCTCTAGCCTTAGCCTCCCGAGTAGCTGGCATTACAGGTCCAAGCCACCATGCCCAGCTAATTTTTGTATTTTTTAGTAGAGACGGGAATTCGCCATGTTGGCCAGGCTGATCTCGAACCCCTGACCTCAGGTGATCTGTCCATCTCCCAGAGTGCTTGGTTACAGGCATGAGCCACCATGCCCGGCCGGGAATCTTTTTTTTTTTTTGGAACACAGTTTTGCTCTCGTTGCCCAGGCTAGAATGCAGTGGCACGCTCTCGGCTCACTGCAACCTCTGCCTCCCAGGTTCAAGCAATTCTCCTGCCTCAGCCTCCCACCGCACCTGGCTAGTTTTTTATATTTTTAGAAGAGGCAGGGTTTCACCATATTGGCCAGGTTGGTCTTGAACTCCTGACCTTGTGATCCATCTGCTTCAGCCTCCCAAAGTGCTGGGATTACAGGCATGAGCCACCGCACCTGGCCGCAAAGGGAACATTTATTCTTGCTAATGGGACTATGTAAAGAAGGAACACTTTAGAAAATAATTTGGCATTATCTAGTCAAAATGACATACGTGTACCCTTGATTTAACAATTCCACCCCTAAGTATATACCCTAGAGAAACTCTTACAGTACATGCAAATCAGGAAACAAGGAGAGCCATCCTCTATCACAGAAAAAGAAAAACACCCCTACACCAATTCAGAAAATAACTGCAATGACAGTAAGGAGTAGAGCAGTAATTTACCAAATGAAACAGCACACTTGTGAAATACACCTATTTGAAACAACACAGATCAACCTGAAGAATGTTGAGCAATAAAAGTAACAGAAGAATACATTCGTTATCATTCCACATATAAACAGTTCAAAATCATGAAATATATTGTTTAAAAATGCAAATTTGGTAAAATTATGAAGAAAAGCAATAGTAAACCCAGAATTAGGAATATGAGAAAGAGACAGAAGAAAGCAGTGGCGTGTAGGGGACAGAAGATAATGGTAATGTTCGTTTTCTTAAAATGGGTAGATTCAAGATGTACCATGAAGTGTGATTTTTTTGGACACTGTATTTCAGTTTCTCCCTTAACCCTCACAAATCAATAGGTCTTTTATTGCATAATTTAAATGTCACAAATAGGTCTTATGAATCATCTGGCATCTTGTTTCTGTAGCTGGACAACTCTTAGACCTTATTCACAAACCTGCAGAACTATTCCTTTTTCAGAGACAGAGATACTAAATAAATATTTTCTGCTATGTTTTTAACTGTTGCAGCTTGCTGAATCAAAGCAGCTGAATTTGAAACAAGCTCAATGTTGTATCCTTTGGTGCTCTAAGCCTTCAGAAAACTTCTATAGTAACAAACTATAGAAACGACCCCTAAAAGGATAGTCTTGACTTCAGTTTCTATCATTTCAATATTTAATTTTTTAAAAGAAGAGACCAAATAACCCACGTGTGGGCAATTAATCTATATTATTTCCTCTTCTAAGGTAGATGGGTACCTTCCATCTTTGACTCCTTTCTAGACCTAACATAAACTGTAGACAGATGTTATACAATGAAAGGCAAGTTTTTACTACTGGCCCTATCTGTAAAGACCAAGGAGACAGAAGACCAACTTTTTTTTGTTTGTTTTTTGCTTTTTTTTTGAGATAGAGTCTTACTCTGTTGTCCAGACTGGAGTGCTATGGCGCGATGTTGACTTACTGCAACCTCCGGCTCCTGGGTTCAAGTGATTCTCCTCCCTCAGCCTCCTGAGTAGCTGTGATTACAGGTGCACGCCACCACGGCCCAGCTAATTTTTGTATTTTTAGTAGAGGCAGGGTTTCACCTTGTTGTCCAGGCTAGTCTCGAACTCCTGACTTCTGGTGTTCCACCCACCTCGGCTTCTCAAAGTGCTGAGATTACAGGCATGAGCCACTGCGCCCAGCCAGAAGACCAACCTTGAATAGGTAGATGGCTAATAGTCTTGCCTATACCCTACATAATACAGTATATGAAGATATAAGAGGCCGGGAGTGGTGGCTCATGCCTATAATCCCAGCACTTTGGGAGGCCGAGGTGGGTGGATCAGGAGGTCAGGAGATGGAGATCATCCTGGCTAACACTGTGAAACCCCATCTTTACTAAAAATACAAAAAATTAGCCGGGCATGGTAGCAGGTGCTGTAGTCCCAGCTACTGGGGAGGCTGAGGCAGGAGAATGGCGTGAGGCAGGAGAATGGTGTGAGCCCGGGAGGCAGAGCTTGCAGAGAGCCAAGATCGCGCCACTGCACTCCAGCCTGGGCAACAGAGCGAGACTCGTCTTAAAAACAAAAAAAGATGTAAGAAACATTAGTGCCCAAGTGATCAGGATGCTAGATCAAAAAGTCAAACAAAGAAACTAAACTGAAATAAGAACCTTATCATTAGAAACTTTACCATCAGTGAAAAGAAATAGGCCACCAGCATACTAACCATATGAAAGCAGAATATCTAGTCAAAAACAGTTGATGTCTTAGGAGAAAAGCAAGCAGATTATACAGTAGTTTTAAGAACGAGACTACTGGATAATACCATTAAAAAATGAAGTCAATGAAAAAATGTAATTCAAATACCCAAGTCATACAATTTCCAAAAACTAATATGATACTTACAAAAAAACAAAAGTATGATATTTAAAATAAACTTACCCTGAAATAAGTGAAGTTACTAGCTGCTAAATAAATGTCACTCAAAAGCAGTCTCTTGGCTTTTTCTTACACAGCGGGCAACTTTTCTTTTAAATTCTCCATTTCTATCTTCCCTCCATTCTTTCTGTAGATTAAAAAAGCAGTATCAAGTGATTTCATGCAAACTCCTCTTTATAATCTCAAATATTTATTTTAATTTTGAATGTAATCCCTTGGTGATTTGTCCACTTCAAAAATATTATAAAGCTGATAAGGTAGAAAGCAGTTAGACATACTTTTGCAAGACACTACCAGGATATACAGGCAGAAATCTCCTATGCAAATTCCCTCTACATTAAAAATTATTTTTAAAAAAGAAAAAGATCACGAAAGAACATTTACAGTTTTGTATTACACTGAAAACGAAAGTTAAAATACACAAATAAGACATTCAGGCCAGGCGCCGTGGCTCACGGCTATAATCCCAGCACATTGCGAGGCCGAGGTGGGTGAATCGTGAAGTCCGGAGTTTGAGACCAGCCTGACCAATATGTTGAAAGTAAAAGTACAAAAATTAGCCAGACGTGGTGGCCCATGCCTGTAATCCCAGCTACTGAGGAGGCTGAGGCAGGAAAATCACCTGAACCGGGGAGGCAGAGGTTGCTGTGACCTGAGATGGCGCCACTGCACGGCAGCCTGGACGACAGAGCAACTCTGTCTCAAAAAAAAAAAAAAAAAAAAAAAGACATTCAGTTGCTAATCTGAAGGATTACCAACGCTCCCTATTGGAAACTACCAGAATATAAACATAAACATGTCTGCAACGTAAGGTAGGTAGGTGGGATGCATCATATTGAGATGATACTAAGTACCATTTCTAGTGTAGAGAAGAACACATGACAATTATCACTGTCACTGTCTGACATGCAAAAATGGAACAGAACGGTGGGGTAATGAGGGGAGGGGAAGAGAAGGGAAGCAGAGAGAGCGAGCCAGACAGAGAGGAATTGGGGGAGAGGGGAAACAAAGGGAAAAGGGTCTATTAAACAGAGGCCTAAAGAAGCTAAAATTTGGAAATGGCAAATCTGAGAAGAGCCTGAATAAAAAGTGGGGCTGAGGCCGTGCATGGTGGCTCACACCTATAATCTCAGCACTTTGGGAGGCCGAGGCAGGACCTCAGGATCACCTGAGATCAAGACTTCAACACCAGCCTGGCCACCATGATGAAACCCATCTCAACTAAAAGATACAAAAATAAGCTGGACCTGGTGGCGCACGCCTGGAGTCCCAGCTACTTGGGAAGCTGAGGCGGGAGAATCGCTTGAACCTG